ACACACACACACACACACACACACACACACACATATTAAAGCTTGGTCCTCTTGAAGGGTAGAGGAATCTTTATGGGATAAACAGAAAAGAAAACCTGTCAGTCAGCTTTTGCTCCCAGTTCTGAAGTTCCTGATTGCCTGCAAGGGCATTAAACAGTCTAGTGGGCCTTGGCGTGGGTCCAATGGCTCTTTTCTTTTTCTTTTTTTAAGAGAATGATTTTTACTATAGGGCATATGTACTTGCCAGCCAGACAGAGAGAGACAGAGAGACAAAAAGCGAGAAATCACTCCCCAGAGGGGATGGCCAAGTCTCACTCCCTTCTTCTCCATTCTCCTCTCAGGATTTTGGGCATGCATGCACATGTGCTTGTTGTGAGTTTTAAGCCACCGGGTCTAAGACTCGAACTGTGGTTGACTACATGGGAGCCCAGCGATGTAACCATTACACCATCTGCTGGCCCCACCGATGGCTATTTTCAGTCCAGGCTCCTTCCTGTTCCCTCTAAGAAACTCCCCTAAGCAACCTCATTGTATTCAGACTCCTCTGAAGCATCATGTCCCCTCACTCCATGTGTGTTCTTTGCACTGCACTGTTTGCACTTGCTCTTAGTATATGATTGGCTCTAGTCCCTGTCCCTAGAATGGAAGCATCTTGAGAAAAAGACGTGTATTTCCCCTTCATTTAGCCCTAGTTTGCTGAGCATGCAGCTGGTACTCAACTCCCAAACTCATCTCTCTCTGTCTCCTGACAACATCCCTCTGACCTTTTACCCAGGGTGACTTTAGCATCATCTGCTCAGTGAGATAGAACAAGCGCCTACAATGTGTGAGTCTATGTATTAGGAGCTAAAGGCAATATGGGAGAAAGACAGGTCAGACTCTAAATTTTCTGGAGGTGCAGAGGTTGTTGGTGATACATGCCCGGTCTCAGGAGACCACAGATTCAGGAGTAAGGGAGCAAGACAGGAAGTATGATCGGACTTTGCAGAAAGGAACTAAAGAGAACAGCTGGGCAAGCTTGCAGATACAATTCTTGGCACGGCTTGTGAGCAGAGCTTGGTGAAGCACACATCCAGCCTGGCCAACTCCTCTGGCGCACTGGAAAGATGCTGCCATTGTTGTGAGTTTTTTTTGAGAGATTTTCACTGTAGGGCGCGTGCGCTCGCCAGACAGACAGAGAGAGACATAGAGACAGAAAGCGAGAAATCACCCCCCAGGGGGGATGGTCACGCCGCAATCCCTTCTCCTCCATTCTCCTCTCGGGATCTTGGGCACGCACGCACACGTGCCCGGCGTGAGTTTTAAGCCACCGGATCCGGGACACGAACCGCGGTCGACTATGTGGGAGTCCAGCGACATAGCCATTACGCTAACTGCTGGTTCCCGATGCTGCCATTGTTGTGATGCCTTGCTTGCAGTAGGTGCACTGTATAGGAATGAATGTCTATCTGTCTATCATCTATCCATCTATTATCTATCTCAGATGTGTCTACCTTCTCTTCTCCAGCATAAGGATTTGCCTCTTTGGTTAAGCTGCCCAGTCATAAGTTCATTCAAAATCAGGCATTTACTGGACAGCTTCTACATGCCAAGATAACACCTAGCTATTCCTTCCGTGGTAGGGCATGTGGGGTTAAAATGAGCAAATGGCTCAAGGTCAGAGGCCACCTGGCTGTTTTGAAGCTTTCTCTGGCCGGCGAGGGTTATGAATCCTTGACCATATTTGTGTGGCTCTGTGGCCAGAATGGCATCCATTGCTCTGCCTGCCCTCAGCTGTCAGGTTACCCTGGCTGGTAGTGACCTCTTTCGCATCTCTTGTAGGTGGTGACAATGCCAGAGTACCTGCGGAAGCGGTTTGGAGGCAAGCGGATCCAGGTGTACCTCTCTGTTCTGTCGGTGTTGCTCTACATTTTCACCAAGATCTCGGTGAGTTCACTGCCCCCGAGGGTGGGCACTGGCTGTTTCAGAAACCACCCATGCTCACTGTCCAGTACATGCTTCCCCACCAGGAGGCACCTCTATATGTTTCTATTAACCAGGCCCCTTAAACTCTCTTGCTCCTGAGGGTAAAGTGCTATTTCACATGTCGAGGAGCCAATGGAGTTCAAAGGAGCATTTTGGCCTACACTGTGGTGCCAGTTAAAAAAATGATTAGGTTATGATGGATCAGAACCCCAGCTACTTTGGCGCAGGTGGTAGCATACCGATCTGCAGTGCTGTAAGCCACATGGCCGACTGCAGGTTCAGATCCCAAGTCAGCCTGAAACACACTGGGTACATAGTGCCCAAGGGCATTGTAGTGTGACAAAACTCTGTTGGGGATGCTTGTCTCTCTCTCTTTTGAGAAACAAAAATAAACTTAAAAAAATAAAGAGAAGATTCAAGGAAAGCTGGAATAAGTTTTCCATTTCTCTTTCTCTTTTTCTTCTTCCAAAGTGTTCAAGTTAATCCCTCACTTATTTCTTCCACCCTTCTTCTCTCCTTCTTTTCCTGATTCACTCCCTTCTGTGTGTGTGTGTGGGGGGGTATGGTGGGGAGCAAGAGCAAGTACACCCAACAGGGTTCCTACAATCCACTCCACTTCCAACGTCAGCCAGCTCCAGATCATGAGCACATGTGTGCACAGTGTACTCAGGGAGGGCCCCAGATGTGAACCTGGAACCCTCTTGTGTGGGCCAGACTCACAGAGTTGTATTCTACCACTGTGCCACCTTCTGGCCCCAAGTCAATCCCTCTTGATGGTAAAACAAAGCAAAGCAAAAAACTCAGAGAATTACAGAAGGTATGAGATATTCCCTGATGGCCTAAATGATGGTGGAAAGAGAAAAGTTTGTATATGTGTTTTGGTTGGCCTTCAGTCTGATAAAGATTAAAACTACAGTGGAAAAATGTGAATGATAAGGAACAGGAGAAAGAAAATAGCACCTTGGTAAGAAAACTACCTAGGAGAATCATTGGAAGAGTGATTCTCCAATAGAGTAGGAAGCTGTGCACCTGGTCTGTTCCACTATTCACCAGCAGGTGACTTGGGGCAAGTGGTATAAACTTTCTAGAACTTAGCTTCTTCACCAGTAATATGGGGATATTAATTCTTGCATTGCCTAACTTACTAAGTTTTGGTGAGGATCAAGTGAATTTATGTGAAAATATAAAATATTATTAAAATGTAAAATATGATAATGAATATGGGTAATTGAGAGCCCTCAGCACTGTGAGAGGCTCTCAGGGTTGCAGTGGGTATAGACACAGTGTTTTCTGAAATCTCATGTGGAGTGGCTCCTGCTTTCCCCTTTAACCTCATTGCTCTGTCAAAGGGTTTTCTTTGTCTATGGTCAGCTTTCTTTCCTTTTCTTGTCCTCTCTTATCCAGCACTGAAGTTTAGATTGGCCTAGTCTCAGTATCTTGCAAAAGATCTACCTTAGCTGAGAACTGAGTTGGATTAGAACTGAGCCTTTTATTATATCTTGTAGGGTACTAAAAAATCAGTTGCTAGTACTTTTATTTTCCTGATTACTTAAAGCTGAGACAATAATATTAAATAACACTTGCAGTTTTTTATGATATGAAATTTCCAACATAACAGGGATCTTTAAAAAGTTAATAAAAGTGTGTATTATGAAAAAACTGCATGAATTTCACAATTTTTGTGCCAAAATAAACTCATATTTTATTTATTGCTATTTTTATTTTTTGCTGTATGGAGTGTGCTCTCCAGAGAGAAACAGAGAGAGAGAGGGAGGGAAAGTAAGAAATCAGCCTCAGGTAGGATGGCCATGCCACGATCCTTTCTCTTCTAGTCTCCTCTTGGAATTTTGGGCATGCATGCACACATAGTGTGATTTTCAAGCCACCAGTTCTGGGACTTGAACCACACAGTTGGTCATGTGTGATCCAGTGCCTTAACCTCTATGGCACCTACTGGCCCCTAAACCAATATTTTAATTCCACTTTTCCATGAACATTTTGAAATCCTCTGTACATAAGCTGAGATAGATTACTATAATGAATATTCATGATCTAATACTGATCATTTGGCTTTAAGTTTCCATTTTTAACTCATTTATCTTCTTTCACTTTTGTCCAGCAGGTTTTTTTCTTTTTTGCTTAAAAATTTTTGTGGAAAATGTAATTAAAATATGAGTTTATTTTGGTGCAAAAAACTGAAAAACATGCATAGATTTTTTTTTTTTGGAGAGGTTTTTCTGCTATAGGGCGCATGTGCTCACCAGACAGACAGAGAGAGACATAGAGACAGAAAGCGAGAAATCACCCCCCATGGGGGATAGCCACGCCACAATCCCTTCTCCTCCATTCTCCTCTTGGGATCTTGGGCACGCACGCACACGTGTCCGGCGTGAGTTTCAAGTCACTGGGTTTGGGACGCGAACTGCGGTCGACTATGTGGGAGTCCAGCGATATAGCCATTATGCTAACTGCTGGTTCCCAACATGCATAGTTTTTTAATAATATGCATTTTTAATAAACTTTTTAAAGACTTCTTGTGTGCTCCCACATGCTCTCTTAAACTGTTTTGTAATTTTAGCTCTGACATTTAGGGCTTTGATCCATTTTCAGTTAACTTTTGTGCATGGTGTGAGGTAGGGATTAAACGTTATTATTTTGTATGGGGATATATAGTTCTTCCAGAACTATTTGTTAGAGAGGCTACTATCTTCTCATTAAATGGTGTTGCACATAAGACTGCACACAACTCAATGAAAACATGTTCTCATTGATAAGGCTGACAGAGTTTTGTCTTGGAGTTGTGACTGACACCAAGGACTAGTACTCCCTCCTTGTGTAGCTTCCTAACTATCATTGCTACTGTCTTTGATCTGCACCTTTGTGTTTCCTCTACTATGTGATAATTCTGTCTTTTTCACTTTCTCCTCCCTTCCCTCAGGGTTAGTTTTTAGTACAAGATGGAAACCCTGGGATTTTTAGTCTTATTATTAGAGACTAGTGTTCAGAACCTGAGCTGGGGAGTGCTGGGAGGGCCAAATAAATAGAAACTGGGTTTCTCTTCCTGAGCACGAGAAGGGCACTTATCTAAGAAGAGAAAAGAAATGCCAGTGACAGGACGGGGACGGGACAGCTCTTTGGTTCAGGTTGCGAGGTGGTAACTCCTAATGAGCACCTAGAGAATGGCACTGGCTTCTCTTTCTAAAAGACAGGCATTCTCCAAGTCCACAGTTCAAACCAGTGAAAGTCTGTTGACTGCAGTTGCCATGGAAAGGGGCAATCTTTGCCCTAGAGCTGGTATAGGGGTAGTCATATAAATAAACGAAGTGAGTACCCAACCTCTCTCCCTGCCTTCTCTATCACCTCACCTATTTTTCAGGTTACTGATTAAACCTCCTTGGACTTAGGAGTCTGCAGGTAATTGAGGGGTATCCACCTTTAACTCAGATCCTGATAAGGTACATCCTCCAGCAGTCAGCTTTTACTAAAAACTTTTTAAAAAGTTTACATGATGTAGGCTGCTCCTTTTCTGTGTGATTTCTAGGGCTTTTTACTAGAAACACTGAGCAATGCCATAATTGTTCCGCCAATTTCCAAAGGTCAGCAATCTCTTAACAAATGTGTAGGTAGAATGACAGCCCTCCTTGACAAGGGTACTCCAAAAAATTTATGGAAAATGAAATTAAAGTATGAGTATTTTGGTGAAAAAATTGTAATGCATGTATAGTTTAAAAATATATAATATGTATTTTGCATGTACTTTTGGAAGACCTCTTGTATTTAGTGACAATCTCTTCACTTACTCTTCAATAGGGGCTTTTTTTAGACCAGCTCTAGTTCTCACAAGAGTACTGCATGGATGGAGATTTCTACTGCACTTCCTGCTTCATGGAAGAGAAATCTGAGTCTCAGAGGTGTTAGATAGTTTGCCCAAAATTGCACGGCTAGTAAATGGCAAAGTCAAGTTTGGAATCAGGTCTCTGTAGTCCCAAAGTCTATGCTCTGCTCACAGTTTTCCACTGTGCTTGGGTGGAATAAAGTCATAGAATGACAGAACTGGATGTGCTCACTTCGGCAGCACACATACTAAAATTGGAATGATACAGAGAAGGTTAGCATGGTCCCTGCGCAAGGATGACACTCAAATCCATGAAGCATTCTATAAAAAAAATGAAAAAAAGAAAAGAACTGGATGGATCATCTAGTTCTATATCTTATGCTTTCATGTTATAGATGGAAGAAATAAAACCCAGGGATGGAAAGGGCCTTTTGGAGGTTAAACTGCTGCAGAGCCATAATGAGGAACAGGTTTCCTGACACTGAATCCAAACCTTTTGACAGTAGATTCCCTCTGCCTTCTAAGTCTTCCGTTCCTCCAGTACAGAACAGATTAAAATTCAAGACACAAGGAAAATAAAAATTATCTTAAAAATTTGCTATAGGACGTGCACTTAGCAGAGAGAGAGAGAGAGAGAGAGAGAGAGAGAGAAGGAAAGTGAGAAAGTATCCCCAAGTATCCCCTGAGGGGCATGGCCAACCACAATCCCCTCCCCATTCTTCCTCAGGATTTGCATGTGCCCAACATGTTTTCAAGTCACAGAGTCCAGGACTTGAACCATGCTGTCAGCCATGTGGGATCCAGCTGCCACCATGCCACCTGCTGGCCCAACCCAGAGAAAAATGAGGAGAGCCAGTCAAATGAACCCCACCATGTAAGCGAGTTGCTGAGAGTAAGACTGAGAGACTGTGAGGAGAAAACATCAGCTGCACTCTGGGTGTGTGAAAGATCTGAAGGAAGACATCTATGCAGGCAGTGGGGTTGGGAGGGATGCAGACAGGTAAGGATTTGTCTTTGTAAAGTTTATTGGCTTACAATTCACCATGGTTCTCAGAGCATTGCATTTTACAAAAGATTACACTGATAACTCTATCCACTGGACACTCACATCGAAATACACAGGCGT